AGACCCTAGCCAAGCCAACCCCAAAACCACCTTCAAAAATTCAAAAACCCAACAAACCAGAACCTGGGGAGTTCGACGTGGCTTGAAAAGGTGGACAGGGGTGATCGACGCGACCATATCTGGGGATGGGGGAGTTTGGCGCGCCGAAGCTAGGTTTAAGGGAGATCGACGACGCGACAAGAAATTGTGGTGGCTCGCCTGGATTTTCGCAAAGGATTGAGGAAGAGGGTTGGTGGTTCAGGGGAGGGGCAGGGGGAGGGGGAGGGGGATAGTCACGCACCAGAGCTGGGTTTAAGGGCTGGCTGGCAAGAGCCGCGTGGCTGGGGTTGGCCGGTTGGGGGTTGGCTTGGGTGGTGGATGGTTTTGAATATTAATTTTTTATTTTTTTTTAAAAAAAGATTTTTTTTTTTATTTTTTTTTTCTAATTACAAGCTGCCACGTGTATGGTAACTTGTTATAACAAGTTAAATTACCGGTTGGGACCAGTTATAGCGGAGTGGGTATAAAAGTGGGATTATTTAAAAATAATCCACAAGTGGGATTATATTCAGCGGACGGCTCAAAGGTGGGATTATTCTGGGCAATTTTTTCATTTAAAATCATAAAAGAGTATTAAAATCCACCCTACACAAATTTCCAGCAATATATACTATTATAAAACCTTTCATAATTAATTAAAATAAGCTGAAATTATATTTAAAACATCATACTTTAGTCCCAATTAATGGGTAACTGAAATTTCTTACAGAAACTTAGTTTTAAATACTCTACTAAAAATTCCAGCACTTTCTTTTAATTAAAACTTGTTCTAATTAAGCCTTAAAACACTTTAATCAAATATTTAAACCATTATACATCATAATCCTTCAATTATTCATAAATAAAGAACCTAGGGTTTCAAAAAATTGGGGCTTTTTAATCAAAAACATAATCTGAAAATTAATCAACATAATACTTATAATCAAACATTAAAATCAAATCCCTAAACTCATAATTTAAAATTAGATTTACGCATAGATTAAATTAGAACAATAAAGATTAAGTTTTTTTTTTAATCGAAAAAGGAGGAAGAAGGAGAAAGGCAGCCACATGCTGCCGACTGCTGGCAAAGGCGGCCACCTGCTGCCGGCGGTGACGCTGCTGGCAGCGGCGGCCACCTGCTATAGGTGGTCGGCAGCGGTGGAGGGGAGAAAGAGCAGCCGAAAAAAAAGAAAGAGGAAGGGGAAAAGAAAAGGAAAGAAAAATAAGGAGAAGAGAGAGAGAAGTTTACCTTGAGTTTTCTCCACTCTGGGCAAAGTTGATTTGCCTCATTAGTGGGATATTTATACCCCTTCTCTACCAACCCTTTTCCCCTAAACTTTCCTCTTTTAATTTTTCTAATCCATTCCCTAATAAAACTTATTAAACATCATACTTTCTTAAAATAAACCCCAACTTATATAAAATCAATAATAAAATAAACTTTCCTTTTATAAAGTATTTCATAACTTACATTGAATAAATAATTAAAATACCATAATTAAAACATTAAAATTATTTAAATACCTTTACAAAATACATATTTTAAACAAAAAAGTATAAAAATACGGGGTATTACAACCTTTACTTGTAAAAGCGCTCTACACTTGCAATTGATCAATCTAGATTCTTTAGCACGCGATAAGACTAGAAAGTACTTTTTCTAGCCTTAAGAGCTACTTGTTTCGAACACATGCAAATCAAGGATAGTTTCAACATCCTTAACACTACTGAAAGATTCCCTATTCTTAAGAACTTCGCCAAATGAGTCTCGAATTCATTTCCTTAGCTACTTTGATCGTCGTCTATTCTAGACTCGAACAAAGTGGGGGATAACGGTAGCTTTTGGGCTCCTGTCCCGACCGTAAGTGCTAAAACAATAAATAAAACCATCTTTGTGTTGGATCAACGTGAAGAATACTTATGGACTACTTATTAAGTCACAAGAATACAAAACAACTAGCCTGACCCAAAACAAAATGAACTAAAGACCAATTAACTAAGCTCGATCGATAATTAGGCTTAAAATCGAAGTTAAAACCTAATTTTGACGGTCATAAGGGCGCTTAGGTTAAAAACTAAAAGTACTGCAGGAAAATCTCAATGATTCGCAGCCTTCAGTTATGCGCTCACGGAAGATTAAGAATTTCAGGGAAATAGTGAATCGAATCTTACCATAAAACAGCGCGAATGATAATTAGTTAAGTTGCCCATGGCAGCGCATCTCAATCACTTGCACGAAGCAAGCGCACAAGACCCTTTGAGATGCGCGCTCCACCTATTGTGGCAGAATCCTCAAAACCCTAAACGCACTCATTCTCTATAAATAGGGGCTTAATACGATGCTTAATCACACAAAAATTAACCCAAAACACTAGCAGAAATTTTGTGAACTTGTGTACTACCAACCCTCTTGTCCTAAACACTCACCCCTCTTATTACATGTCCTTACGGTGGAGGTTCTCGAACAAGAATGAGTCCATACATGCTCTAAGAGAAGATCTAGAAAAGAAAAGTGGTTAGTTTCCTGATCACTTAGATAAATCACCTTCTTTTTTATGTTTACACAACTTTAAATAATTAATTAGTGTTGTTTAATCACTTTAAATAAACTTTTAATTAATCGATTTCACATAGTATCTCGTGTTAATTAAATACTAGAATTGAATAATTAATTGTTTTATCACCTAAGTCAAGACGAATCTTGTTTATTTATTGTTCTTTTTCACGAATTTCATTAAATAAGAATAACAACTTTGCAATGTAATTCCTACGTGATTAATGCTTGAAAATAAAACTAACTAACTTAGTTTCATGTATCACATTGCATATATTATTTCGTGATGAAATTGTGAAAATGGAATAGCTAATAGAGGCCGCACTAGGGCTAGAATAATGATTCCTCCTTAAAAGGAACCTTATTTTTGTACCGTCGTTCTCGAACTCATTTCTGGTATTAAAAAAAATAATAAAAATAAACAACCCAGCCCCCACCCCAGAAAACACCTCACCCCCACCCCACCCCGTCGGAAATAGCTCCCCATCAGCAAAAGTTTAGCTTGGGGGAATTTTATGAGTGTCATTTATGGCACTCATTTGGTTCTTTTTAGGGTGAATTTCATGTTATTCTATAGCTATTTTACTTAGCTTTTCCTTGATTTTACTCTTTATTTCTTTTGGTTTGCATTTTCTTAGTTGGATTTCTTTCTTTATGCATTTCTTGGTTTATTTTGTTATTTCTCTTTTATTTGCTTGTTTTCCTTTATTTTTCAGGTTAAGGTCGTTATCCAAGTTTCCCGTGGCCTCTTCCCAAGTTTGGCATTGAGAAGGATATGTAATGTTCTCCATTTGAAGCTCAAGCATGGAGAAGTGCAAGTACTTAAAGTCCTTGAGCTATGCATTCAAGTCGTGGGGGCATGATTTCTAGTGTTGAACCCGCAAACATGGAGTTTAGAAACTGCAAGATCCCGTGTTTATCAAGAGCATTAACTAGAATGCACGAGGAGCATCCATCGGCATGATAGGGAAGAAGGCTACCCTGTTCCCAGGCGTCGGCGCGCGTGGCTATGGAGCGGCCGCGCGGCTTGGTGGCGCGGGTGCGCCTGTATGGGTCTCTGTTCCGTACCCACATTTGCGCGACCGCGCTCTCTTATAGTTGGTCGCGCCTGTACGGGTTTACTTAGGGACGATCTAACTAATTTCTCTTAGTTAGTTTTACTATATATAGATCTTCTTTCTATTTTTAGAGGGAGTTCAATTTTTCAGAAATTAGAATAGAATTAGGTTAGATTTTTTAGAGAGAGAAACTCTAGTTTGTAGAGAGAGAAGTTCTTGATTGATGATTGAAGATTAATGATTCCAAGTGCTTTTCTCCATTGAATTGAAGCAAGTTTGTAAGGATTTCTTTACCTTTATGCAATCTTAATTTTGATCTCAATTTATTAATTGTTCAAGTTGATTGATTTTTGAATTGGTTTATTTTTTATTGATATGATGATGATGAATTTGTCGTTTAGTTTAGTTTTGATATTGATTACCATGGTAGTGAGTACTTTTCTTGCTAGGGAAATGGTGAAGCATATATGAGTAATGGATTTATGCTAATTGGGGGAAATTGATGGAGTTGATGTTGTGATTAAATTGGTTGATTAATTATGTGCATATGTGTGTGTAATTTAGGAGTGATCAACCTAAGTTTCTCATGCTAGATTGCATTGTAGTTTTACATTGATACAGAAAATTGATTTGTGGCTTACATTTATTGATTGAGTAGGTTTGCAAGTTTCCTAGCTAGAGTCTCTCATAGTTGATGCTAGTTTTACCTCTAGGAGATTAGCCTACCATATTCTCTTGATTGCTTAATCGATTTTCTCTTGCAACACTTGACTCAGTCATTTCCAATCCCAATTAGTTGAATTAATTACGAGTTTATGTAGATCCATACCCTAGTGCTTGATAAATTTGATTTTCATTTTGATTGTTTGATTGGTAGGATAGACACACCTCACCTCATTGCTTCGAAATAGCTTAGATTTGACATTAGCATTCACCTCCAATTCCTAGTGGTTCGACCCTTGACTTACTCTATGATTGGTATAGGGGTGTGATGAGAGATTACAAATTGTGTTTTGACCGAGGGTAGATTAATTTTCAACGACCTAGTCTCTCCCTAGATCAAAACTATGTGCCGGTCAAAGTGTAACACTTAAAAAAACACAGAGGGAGTATTAAATTTTACTTTAACAGGCTCAAACTTAAAATAACAGTATTAAATTAGAAAATGACGTTTTTCTAACACTTAGCGAAAAAAAAAATTCAACATTGGTATGAACCTTCTTAGTCCCTACCTGGTAGTGGGCAATACTTTTCTCCATAAATATACATATCTTTGCGTTGGTTTTTTTTTTTTTTTCCGATGAAGGAGCTTTACTTTCCTGTCTAACAATCGCAGGTCACATAACTTAATATTATAACATGTTAATATTGAAATTCTCTCTAGTTTCCTAGAGCATCTCTCTCTAAGTTTAGTGTCTTTTCTTTAAGAGTGACTTCTTAGCGAGAGTCCTTCTGTTTTCTTTCCCGTTATTGCTGCGCTTAATCTGAACCATAATCCATCCATCTTCCTAAATACTAGGAAATTGGGACCATTTTTTAGACCAACCAAAGAGGAGGAGTCGAGAGTCCTAAATGACAAAAGCATCCTAGTGGTAGGATAGTTCAAGGACTGGCGGGGGAATGCTTTCTTAGAAGAGGAGATATAGAGCTGGATATACTCGTCTTGGAGGTTTAGAGGTTTGATCATCGTGGAGAAAGTGGAGGGCCTCTTTTTGTTAAGGTTTACCAAAGAGGATGATTGTAATGCTCTCCTTAGATACGGAGATGGGAATTACAAGGGTGCCTTAATAATCTTTAAGAGATGTCTGATCGGTCATGCCTTAAGATCAATGAACTTTGATGGTGCTTATCTGTGGGTTCAAGTTGAGGGGTTGCCAGTTCATTTCAACATAGTCTCTATTGCGAGCATAGTTCTTTCGAGGATAGGACGTGTGCTCTATTTTGATAGTGAATCTTTAAGGCCTCTTTTGACAGGAGCCTTTAGGGCAAAGGTCTGGCTAAGCCTGAATAGACCCTTAATCCCAGGTTTCTATTTCGAGTTTGAGCAGGGGAGTTTTGAATGGGTGGATCTTAGGTACGTATGAAGGAGAGTTCGTTCTTTGTAGAATTTGTGGGAAAATAGGGCACAAGGAAAAGTACTGCAAGCTATGTCCTCAGAAATGGAGTATAGAATTTCAAGCGGCAATGTATGCAGCATGTGACAACTACGGGGAAATCAGAGTCGATCCAACTTACTTACCCCTCTACACGAATAAAATTATGGGCTTAAAGCGTGTAGAAAGAAATAGAACTTCAAAGCTGAATCTAATTGAGGTTAATGATTTGAGAGAAAGCAGAGGAGGTAGTGAATCGGAGATGGAATAGTCCCCGGAAACGCCAGAAGAATCGAATGAGTCCAGCTCAGAGGATGTTGAGAAAACAGGCACTACTACAAAAAGAGTACTTTCTCGACACTGGGCTTCGACGCTAGACTGGTAGTGTCAGCTCTGAAATACTATGCGTGTTTTACCGACGCTTTTTAGCGTCGAGAAACTCTACCACGTGACTAACACGTGAATTCAACACCCACAATTTCAAAATTTAGGAAAAAAGAAAAAACAAACCAACCCCTTACCACTCAGTGACTCAGTTATCAACCCTAACTATTCTTCTCATCTTCATACGTAATTCTACAAAGAGGCTCATGGAACCATGAATTTCAAACTCAAATCTTCGCTCCTCTGTGAATCAAATTCAAATTCAGATCTTCGCCCTTCTTGAATCAATTTCAAAGCGTGCTACATCAGTTTCAAAGTTACATTTTCGTCCGTCGTCCCTCTCTATTCTATTTCGAAATGAGGTAAATCAATATAAGTTTAGATCTTTGTCTCTCTAAATCATTTCATATTAAGGTACATCAATTATATATTCAGATCTTTCTAATGTTAATCAGTTCCTCATCTCTGTGCCGACAACATTAAGGCGTATATTTTGTTTTTGTTTTTTTTTTTTTTTCTTTTTTATTCGAAATTGGGTTTGTGGATTGTTTTTAAAGCTTTTTTTCCCTATCATGTTACCGAAGTATGGTTAGATGATGGGTTTAATTGATTGAACAGTAAAAATTTCAAGGTTTCTTAAGTCTGGTGGGTTGTGGTAATCGGCTCAGGTGGGTAGGATGTCGGATCTGAGTATGGAGTTGCAGGAATCTGGGTGGGAAGAGCTCCGAAAAGAAGCCCGAAAGATTGAAGGTAATCTTGATGTTAAGCTTTCTTCTTATGCTAAGCTTGGTGCTCGTTTTAGCCAAGGTAACCTCATTTTTTTTATTCTAATTTTTCTGGGTATTTGTTGTTCTTAACATTTTGATTTGATTAATTTTGAATAGGGTTTTAATGGGTCTACATTGTGTTGAATTTATGTATCCTAAATTTGATTTCAGATTTTGATTATTGCATTAGTTTTTGCTTCATGTTTTTCTGAGTAGTTAGTTTGTTTTTGTATAAATTGATGTTGTTTGTTTATAATTATGGCGATTGGGTGTAGATAGAGTTCATTTAGTTACCAATTTGGTTAATTAGTTTTGTGGGCAGTGAATTTTGATCAGAAGAATAGAACTCTGACTGTGTTATATTAGATGGTGATTTAAGGTGAATGGGTTGGAATTTCAGTTTTTGGTTGAGTCTGGTTTGTATGAAAGCGATGACGAGGCGGCAAAGAGGGAAGCGGTTTTGGCTCGCCTTAGAGAGGTATAAGAACTAAATTGGTGTGTGTTGAAGTTATGTTCTTATTTCTGACATGAATTTTAGTTGACTTTGTCAAATTTGGGCATTTTGTTTGGATCCTTACCCGGGGTATACTCCCATAAGGCATGAACAAATTGATGACAGTGTGTACGAGGAACTTCCTGGTGGAGAGCTAATCTAACCGGAGAGGCATGTTAACATATTCTTTAGTATGGTTTTTTTCCTCTCTTAACTTTTGTTTTCAAAACTATTCAGTTGGATGTTGAGTAGGCAGCCTTTGGGAGCTGATCTTCCATCCTTGTTAATTTTATATTTGATGATTTTCTAAATTCTAAAATGTTTGAATCACTTCTAGTTAATGATTAGACATCATAATTACATTTTCCTTTTCAAGATAGTAATTAAAGAGACATCATAATCGCATTTTCCTTGTCATATGTATAAAAGCAATTTCAGTTGGAAACTTGTAAACATGTTTAAGATGGCTAATTAGACGATTTTATAAACTTTTGTCATTGCAGGAAGGACTTGTTGCTTGCTTATGATATCCTAATAAGATATACATCAGAACATGTAGTCTCAATTTCTGAAGTGTTCTGTTCTTTAACAAGTTGCCTTGTTATTTTGTTTACTTTGATGATAGATATTTTATTTTCGTGGATGAATCCCCTCATGGAGCTTGGTTATAAAAGACCATTAAAAGAGAAGGACGTATGGAAGCTAGACACATGGGATCAAACTGAAACATTGATAAGCAAGTATGTACGATTTTCTTACATATATCTCTTATTTTTATAGTGTATGAATGGTTTCCCTGGGTTTTTGCCTGATATTCTAGGTTCCAGAGTTGCTAGATTGTGGAATCTCGAAAACCAAAACTGTGGCTTTTAAGACCGTTAAATCGTAGTCTTGGTGGAAGGTATGTAGGTGAATATCTTTCACACTACTACAAAATTGGCCAAAGAGACCACAAGTTAGAGACCATTTAATTAAATAGGTAGTCTCTTAGTATCAAGAGACCAAATATCCTAAATATGTGGTCTCTTTGATATTTCGAGAGACCACTTATTTGAAATAATAGGTCTCTTGTAGTTTTTCAAAATTTTAATTTAAAACGACAGAGACCATTTTTCTACATAAGTGGTCTCTTTTTTTAAAATACATATAATAATTTTTTTTTTTAAAAAAAAAAAACAAAGGAGAGACCGGTGAAAAGTCTAATATGGTCTCTACTCTCTACATTATCAGTCAAGATGGTCAACACATTCCCAATCCAATTAATTTTCTTTTTTTTTGGGTTGGGACCAATTAATTAATTTAATTTTCATTTTCCCCCAAAACAATTAAACCGCCAAAACAAATAATTTTGCAGCAGCAGCGGCGCACCATCGACCTTCGACTTTGATTCTTCCGCCATTGTTTCCACCTTCGTTTTCCAACTTTTCCATTTTCATCTTCCTCCATTTTCATTTCCAAACCCATTATATGAAATTTATTACAATCTTTTGAAGTTTAGAACCCAATTTCAAACCTTTCGTCTATTGCACAAACCCTTACCGCGACTCTTGCAATCGCTCCACCACTAGGATCGCACGACTAGCCGGAAAACACCGCCTACAGTCGCCTACTGCGCTACTAGCACCACATAGGGTCGCACGGGTAGCAATTGATTGGTTGTTTTGGGCATTGAATTCGCAATTTTAGTACTACTGCCCTAGCTATTCGCACAACTTTGCTAGCCTCCACAAGACCACAATCGACTACTGACGCATTCTACCTCCGGCCAACCACTGCCAACAGGACCAGACGGAAAACCCTAACCAGCCCTATTAGGGTCATCGCAACTAAGCTAGGTGTCATATTTATTTTGTTTGTTTTATGTAGATATTATTTTGAATATGAATCGTGTAATCGTGTTTATTGATTGTTTGCTACGATGTTCTATTGTTATAGTAATCTGCCCATCTTGTTCATATATGAATCCTGTTTTTATTTATACAGTAATGAGTTATTGGATTTTGATTTTCCCGCGAAAGTTTGGATTTTTTAAAAGTTGAATAAAATATTTGCTATAATGTATGCCCATTTTTTTCTTTTTATTTGCTATTGTGTAATTGTGTTTGGCTTTGATTATCATCATTTATCTGAACTTTGTTGTGATTGGAATTTTTTTCTTTTTATTTTATACGGTTCGATGCCACGTCGTTAATAACATACAATGCGATGATTATACATGCTATGATTAGACCAACATTACACTTTAATTATTGTTTTGCATTTTGATAGAAATCTGTTGGTCTATTTTTAGTGATTAAACAGAGCTGTTTGTGCTATTAGATTTTTAATATTTGAAATTAGTAAGTTTAATTATTTTGCTAAGGGTGAAATTAAAATCAAAGTTGGAATTACCGTCTGATATTAGATGATTCTTGACTCTCTTTCTGAGGCTACATAGAGACTTTGTTTTTAACTTTGTCAATTGCATACCTTCCTCTGTTTTTAATTGTGATTTGGTCTTTGTGTTATGAATATTCTAAGAATGACTCATGAAAGTAACATGTGTTAATAGATTTTGAGGAGTTTGTGTTTTGTTCTTCGTGCTTAGAAATGGATCGAAGTTGGATAACAACAACAAAGCCAGGTGACCCTGAATATCAACAAGGTGTTAAGGAATTTATTAAATTTGCATTTGAAAATAGTGGAGGTCGCTCCAAGCTACGTTGTCCTTGTTTTATGTGTCATAATTTTTTGCATAAGAGACCGGATGAAATTCTCAATCATTTAAATAAATGGGCATTTGATAGAACATATACCCATTGGATTTGGCATGGGGAACGTAGAGACATGCAAGCGGGTGATAGTGGTGAAGCTTCACGGTACAAGAAAAGGGAAGGAGCAGTACCAGCGAAGGTTTTATGGTATTTTCCTATAGTACCAAGGTTCAAACGATGGTTTTCAAAAGCAGAAGATGCAAAGAAGTTGACATGGCATTTCGATAGTCGAGTTGACGATGGAATGCTTAGACATCCAGCTGACTCTCCGCAGTGGAGATTTATTGATGGAAAATTCCCTGACTTTGCCCTAGAAAAGCGTAATTTACGCCTTGCATTGTCTACGGATGGGTTCAATCCATTCGGTTCCTTGAGTAGCACATATAGCACATGGCCAGTTATGCTAGTGACTTACAACTTACCTCCTTCATTGTGCATGAAGAGAAGGTATATGTTCTTGTCGTTGTTAATTCAAGGTCCAAAGCAACCGGCAATGACATCGATGTGTATTTGACTCCACTTATTGATGATTTGATTATGCTTTGGGAAGAAGGTGTTGAAGTGTTTGATGCTTATCGCAATGAGAATATTAATTTGAAAGCAATGCTATTTTGCACTATCCAAGATTTTCCGGCATATGGCAACCTTTCGGGGTACACTGTGAAGGGGAAAACAGCTTGTCCCATCGGGTATGGAAGATTGCAAGGGAACGTGGTTAAATGCATCTAAAAAGCATGTCTATCCGGTCCATCGCCAGTTTTTGCCGCCTAATCATCCATATCGCAGGAGAAAGAATGTGTTCAAGGGGCAGCAAGAGTTTAAAAGGCGATCAAAAGTCATCTTAGGTGAAGAGATATTCGATAAGGTGAAAAATATTGACATCACATTTGGCAAGAAACATAAATCGGCCCTTTCTACGCAGGGGTTCAAAAAGTGTTCGGTTCTTTGGCGGCTTCCTTATTGGAAACATCTTTTTGTGAGACATTCACTTGATGTTATGCATATTGAGAAGAATGTGTGTGATAGTTTGATTGGTACCTTATTGAATATCAATGGTAAGACTAAAGATGGCAAAAAAGCGAGGGATGACTTGAAGGATATGGGGATTAGAGGTGAACTCCATGCTGTTGATAATGATAAAGGTCGAACATACTTGCCTCCTGCTGCTTACACTTTGTCAAGAAAAGAGAAAGTCGAATTTTGTGAAAGCTTGGCATGAGTGAAAGTGCCCGAGGGTTATTCTTCTAATATTCGCAACCTTGTGAATATGGAAACCTTGAAACTTGTAGGCCTAAAGTCACATGATTGCCATGTTTTGATGCAACAGTTATTACCTGTGGCGATTCGCTCAATTTTGCCTAAAGATGTTCAATTTGCAATTATCAGACTGTGGATTTTTTCATGCGATTTATAGCAAAGTCATTGATCCTAAAGAGTTGACTACTTTGGAGAATGAAATTGTTTTAGTTTTGTGTCAATTAGAGATGTACTTCCCTCCATCATTTTTTGATGTTATGGTTCATTTACCAATCCACTTAGTTAGAGAGATAAGATATTGTGCTCCGGTTCACATGAGAAATCATTGGTGTTTTGAGAGGCAAATGAAAACCTATAAGGGATATGTGACGATTGCTTTTCATCCGGAAGGTTGTATAGCTGAACGACTGTTTTATGAAGAAGTTCTTGCTCATACCGGTGACTTTTTTTTTGAATTCAAAGCGGATAGGGCTTCCTGTATCTTGTCATAGTGGAAGAATGGATGGTGAGGGGACCATAGGTCGAAAACAGCGTGACTTGTCTTATGATGATTGGCATAAGGCACATTCATACATTCTTCATAATGAGGATGAAGTTATGCCATATGTGGAGCAACACATGAGTTACTTGAGGAAGTGCAACATAGCAAATCATTCATTACTTGGTTCAAAGATCAAGTAATGACAGAGCTAATGGATTCTTCTACTTTAATTTCTGATCGATTGAAGAGTTTGGCATTCGGGCCTAATTTCAATGCCACTTACTATTCTGGATATGTCATAAATGGTTGCACAATTTACACAAGGTTCCAAGATCAACAAAGTACTATGCAGAATAGTGGTGTTACTTTAGAGGCCGAAGCCTTGCATTTTGCCAGTGCTAAAGACAAAAATCCTGTGAGTGGTTTGATGAGGTACTATGGGGTTATTGAAGAGATTTGTGAGTTACATTACTCTACTTTTTCAGTACCTGTTTTTCAATGCCAATGGGTTGATAATAACAATGGGGTCGAACATAGTGATTTTGGGCTTACATTGGTTGATCTCAACAAATTTGGTCATAAAGAAGATCCTTTCATCTTAGCAAGTCAAGCAAAACAAGTGTTTTATATGACTGACCGGCAAACAAGAAAATGTCAGCAGTTATAACCCCGAATCCTCGACATATTGATGATGATTATGGCGATGATAGTGTGTTAGACAATGCTTGTGTTACGCGAAAGGTACAAGGACATATTGAGGTTGATGTAGCCGATGATGTTTCAATATATGTAAGGGATGACCACAATGAAGGCATGTGGGTTGAAAAAGAAAAAAAGGGAACCAAGCGAAAGCGCGCTAAAAAATCTTATTAGGTGTGTGAAAGTTCATTGCCTTAATTCTTTGTGGTTGTTACTTTATTTTTTCAACTTGAATTATAAATGTGTGCTTTTATCATTTTAATAATTTCATTGCTTATCTAAATTTTGACATATTAGTCATTATAGCATATTTTGTTTACTTTTTGGAATTGAGTTTTTTTGTTATGAAATTAACTACTCATGTCACTCTAAATTTTGACCTTTTGTGTAGTAGCAGGATGGCTCGAAAGAAATCGCAAGTGCACGCAACGGACAATTCTGAATGCGAGGAAGAAAGAGGTCGTACTGTGCTCAGAATGGTTGGGAGAGCTATTCAGGTTGGCACAAAAATCCCTTTACAGTGGCATACAACTCGGAGAATCCCTATCGGTGTTCATAGAGGTCATTTCTCCACCTACATTGGTGTATTTGTCCGTGAAAAAGTGAGCATCACCTACAGAAAGTGGTCAGACCTGCCAAAAGCACTTCTTGATGATTTGTATGACAATATTTCGGTATGTATAATGTTTTTATGTTTTAAAGGAAGAGAAACTGAATTATGTATCGATACTTTTAAATGTGACGAATATCTGAATTTCTTTTGGATATAGAGGGGGTTTCATATCCTTGAGGATCGCAAAGGTTGGATTATGAAACAAGCTTGCGTTCGATGGAGAGCTTTCAAGACTAGATTAAGGCTCAAGTGGTTGTACCTGAAAGATGGAACAATCAATGATTCTCTACCATTGAAATATCCTTTCATATGTAAAGATGATTGGGAAAAATTCATTCAGGCTTGTAATTCTAGGGACTTCAAGGTGCAAGTTCATTACGTTGGCATTTATTTTATCTTTATTTTTTTGTGTACATTTAAAATTTGTGTGGATTAACTCTGATATTAAATATAATTATTGCAGAAATTGAGTGAAAGAAATCGTGAAAGTTCGAAGAAGAGGACCTCAAAATATCGAGGTGGGAGACTTGGCTATCAATATTTTGAAGAAACAATTGTAAGTATATGCTAAACATTTTATAACTACTATGTGGTATTAGTGGTGTTCTTATTGCTGTAACCTTCTGTTTTTTACTTCAAATAAACTTAATACTAGTTGTTCTAACTAAATAATAACGGGGTGGTTCTGTTAGAGGTGTTGGATCTGGAGTAACTAACACAGAGTACTTTGGGTTCAACAAACCACCTGCACCTAGCGAAGTCAATGCTAAAATGAATGCGATGAACTCAAAGATGGCATCTATGATGAAGCAGCAGAATTTTATAGTGTCATTCATGATGTCATGCTTGAACCAAGAGCAATTGAGAGCATTCATGGCTGGTGGTGCTCAGTAAGGTGTTTTTGGTGGTGACATTGACACTGCAGGTTTAGGTGGCCTGCTTGGTGTTTCTGGTAATAATTTCTGTTTTGGTGGCGACTCCAATTGTTCTACAAACCAAGGGGCAGGTGGTATTATGTTCAATGATGCTCATATAGACAACACTTTTGGTCATGAGATCCCATTGACACAACTCTTAATTGGAGGTATGGAACGCCATGATGGTAAAGGGCCACAATTTAGACACGATTCACCAGGGGATAAATCTCATGAAGGGGCCTACTATGCACAAGAAATTGAGTCAAATGCAGAAGCTCATCATACAAACAGCCCTATTGTGCATCAGCCTCATCTTCAGAACCTTGAGACAGAGCCATATCGTGTCCAATGGCCTGAGGTGAACCATATCGATCAATCTGCACATACCACAACCCCCGCACAGCTAAGTCAAGTAGTGGACATCATTAGCACCCATACATTTCCCGAGGTCAGCCATACTTTGCACATATGTTTATGTGAAATTTTAGCTATGTAGCTTTAATGGTATTAGCAGTAACCTTTTATCTGCACATATTATGAGGTTATGTCCTTCCTAATCAGAATCTGAAATCTAGCATAATCATCAGAAATTAAAGTTCAGAACTGTAGATATGAACTGAATTTTAGAACCGATAATTTCATAACTGACCTGAAGATCAAAACTTATATATGAATTTGCATTGAACCACCGATTCTACACCATATACTATGTTGTGACAACACTTGTGTGCTCATTTTTAGGGATGGAGTGATTGTTGCTTGGCAATTGAGGGAAGAGACAAATCTGTACAAGTGGTTGCTAACGGAAAAGTCCTCATAGAAAGCAGCACCGAAGTTCTTGGCAATCATAACACATCGTTGCCCCCTGGTCATCGTCGAGTCACCATTACAGAAGATATTGTGCCAACTGCTCCTCTGCCATGCCCAAACGATGAATTGCTTTTTGTATGTCATGCTAAGAGATCTTATACAGCTTGGCCTAATAATTTGATTTTCCCCAAAAAGGTAGTATTCTTCCTTGTTTTTAAGCTTCTGTCCGCTACTGTCTTTAAGCTTCTTCATATTTTTTTCTTTAAGCTACTCATTGTTGTGGCAGCGGCAGCAGCCCTGCCTAGCAGCGGCAGCAGCCCTGCCTAGCAGCGGCAGCAGCCCTGCCTTGCAGCGCCTGCAGCAGCAGCAGCCCTGCCTTGCAGCGGCAGCAGCTTGGTTTTTCGGTTCCTATGCCCTCTTAGTTTTTGGTATGTTGTTCCTTGCATTTTTTATGATAGTCTTGTTTTATTTTTCATGTGAAAACATATTATAAAGGCGAACAACCAATCAGATAAAGAAGTTGATGTGACCACACCATCCCCATAATCTACATCGTCCCACGCATCAACAACTCGTAAGTATGTTATTACCGACAAGGATCGTGAGAAGGTGACATCTACTTTGATGCGCGTTATGAGAAAAAAAGCTATGGGAATGCAAAAGACCGGCGATACCATCTCTATCACTATTCCAGAGAGCATGTTTCTTAATGAAAATGGGTTAAATGTTTCACTTGATTACGAAGACTTGCTTGATTGGTGTTTCTAAAGGGAGGTTGGAGAATCGCAAATGAATATATTCATGAAGTAAGTTCACCTCCAATTTAGTTTCTAATTACAATGTGGAAAATTTTTGGTCCATTCTCTTATATATTTACAACTTTTTATGGGATAAGGATCTTGAAAGAACATTGTCACAAAGAAGGTATCTCGGGAATGTATGGGTTTTGTGACTCTAATGTTCTATCGCCTTTGACACCAACGACAAACGAGCAAGTTCGATCTAACTATCTAGCTCGTGTTTTTGGGTGCAATGAGGGGAAGAACTATAATCAGCTATTCTTTGCTCCTTTTAATGACAAGTATAGTTCCTTTGTTATGTAATTATGTTACTTTGATTGTTATTCTTGTTCATTATTTATGCTTTAATATATGTAATTTCAATTTTCTTAACCTGATTGCTTCTATATTGCTATGCTATGCTATTTTTACTAATAAATTTCTCTTAAAGAAAACAAAGTCAGGGCAACATTGCTATGTTAAACAGTTTCTGCCCCCTTTTACATTTTGTTGTTTTTCTTATCCATTCTTCCTTCTAAAAGTGCCTTGCTGCTGGTTTAGGATGCATTGGACGTTAGCTGTTATTAGTCCGTGGAATGGGTTGGTGTATTGGCTAGATCACTTGGAGCAAAAAATAAAATCAACTCATTCGCTGAAAAAATCATCACTGAGTATGTATAATTGCAATAACTTTGTCATTAACTTCTTATTTTGTTCTTACTGTGTATTTGGAAACAATTACAATTTTCCTATCTTCATGTAATTGTGTAGAGGAATCAAACAATTCAGCTCGGTCCATCGGAAGGACATCAAGAAAATAAAAAAGAATGCATATATTAGGTGGGAGCAACCACAAGTAAGTTATCTAAAGTTTTATAGCAGTTAATATTATGCAGTTTAATCCTAAAATCTAATATCTTGTTAATGATTAATTGTTTGCATTATCATAGTGTCCTCGTCAACCAGCATACACCAAGTATTGTGGATACTTTGTTTGTCGATATATGCTAGATATTGTGCAGAAAAGAGTGCTATGGGTTTCCAAGCAGGTATATTACAAATATATGTCATTTAAATTGGTATAAACTGTCCTCAGCTCTAACTAACTGTCTGTCTGTCTGTCTGAACTGTGAAACCAACTGTCTGGTGAAACCAACTCTGAACTGTGAAACCAACTATGAATGTAACTCTGAACTGTGCAACCAACTGTCTGAATTGTGAATGTAACTCTATCTGTTTGTTGCTCTAACCAACTGTCTGAACTGTGTTCAAGTGTAACTCTGCAGTTTGCATGCAGCTTAATCATATTAACCACCAAAAATAATCAAATCAGCTTATGCAATCAGAATAGCTATAAGGTTCTAATTAAGGTTTTGTATATTCTGATTTGTATATTCTAATAACTATAACATCATCAGCTTATGCAATCTATAATAGCTATAAGGTTTTGTATATTCTGATTTGTAGTTCTGATTGTAGTTCTAATTGTCAGGTCTACTTTTCATTTTTGAATCAGTCTTTGAAATTAAGTTAGGAATGAAATTTGAAATTGGAGTTCTGATCCCCCCTTTGAAATTTCATTATAGTTGTGATTTTAAGTTCTGAAATTCATTTCTTTTCAGTGCTTTGTTATGTCTGAAATACACCAAGTCTTGAAATTAAGTGAGCTAAGGGTGTGGATTGAGGATGTTCGTCAAAATGCTCTTTTGCTTTTTTATGTCTGATTTTCAGCTTTTGGTTAAATATCTATCTGATTTCCGTCAAAAATAAGTAAATAAATAATACTCTTATTTGATGGCATATGTTGTATGTTGCTTTTGTTTGTATCTCACCTGTCCTGAGCCTATTATGCCAATCTATACTGTTGAACTTGCTGTTGTGGCAGCTCTAAATGCTGATGAAGAATCTAAGGAGGAGTGATCAGTTGGGGTCTGTTCGTAGTAGTATAGCTTCTGTTGTCATAAAGTTTGTTTTAATTGCTTTTCGAAGGGGCACTGTGTTTGTTAATATTAGGGCCATTAGTTTTCAGCTTAGTGAATGGTTCTATGTTAATAGCTATTTGCCTTCCTCTAATTTTGATTTATGGAATGAGGTGGGCTGCTTTAGTTGTAAAACTCTAATTAATTAATATATGTCGTCTAGTTTGTGTTAAAAAAAAATGTTGTATGTTGCAGGTCTTTCCCCCAATTTGTACATATTCTTTGGAAGACATTGATGAAATGCGAGATTTGTGGATTAAATATGTTCTTGATCATGAGCCAGATGATGAAGATTCATGATGGATGAGCTTGATAGATGATGAATCAGCAAAGCTTGAATACGAGATAAGCTTAGTGTTAATCATTATACTTGTGAATCTAGCTCTACTTTTGACTTTTTTTGGAGGAAAAGCTCTACACTTGAGTTTTGTTTTTGAATATTAGAATTAATGTAAATTTTGGGTTTTATTTCTATTGTAGAGAATTAGTTTTTGTATTAAATATTTATATATATATATATATATATATATATATATATATATATATATATATATATATATATATATTATTTGGAAAATTTATGTTTCTATATATATGTACTGTATTAGTGGCAGGTTCAACAATGTAACATATTGGCACCAAAATTTATTGGATGAATATGAATTGTAAAAGGAATATGGCAATTTATTTATTTATTTTTTTTAAAAAAAAACGACCTCAGAGAGACCACCTATTTAAAATAGATGGTCTCATTATTCAAAAAACAAAGACCACTCATTTAAAATAGGTGGTCTCAGTATTTAAATCCAGAGACCGCCTATTTAAAACATGTGGTCTCTTATCCTTCTATATTATTTATTATTAAACTAAAAAAAGAGAGCATTTATTTTAGCAAGGTGATCTTAGGTATTGTAAAGTTAGACCACCTTTTATGAAATGGTCTCTTAGGCCAAAGACACCTGTGAGCTAGAGACCACACCTAAGGTAGTCTCTTAGGCTATTTTGGTATGGTTTCTTTGGCCAATTTTGTACTAGTGTCATCTGTAAACCTATGCTAATTGGTGGTGGTTTGTTTGTTTGTTTTTTTTTTTTTTTTTTTTTTTTTTTTTTTGTATTTTCAAGCTTTTGTTTTTGTCTTATTGCCTTGTGCAAAAATATTTTGCTCCCTATTTTCTCAAATTGTCCAATTTATTCCTTAAAACTAGATTTTATATTTTCATTTCAATGAACCATTTTGACTTTAACACGTCTGGGCTACTTTTGTATATCCTTAAGATTTGACTATTAAGATTTGTTTTGTTGTAATATATCTTACATGTACACTTTTTTAATTACTGATCCATTCATTTTTCTCTGTAGGTTTTGGTGGGGAGGATTCTGGAAGGTACTTTTGTCTTCAAAATATGCAAGATCATTTATAGAATATATATATTGCTATGAAAAAATTACAACTTCTGATATTAAACTCACATAACCTGTAAAAACTCACATTATCTAGAAACAAAAATCTGACATTACCGGAAGCTATTTTGAGCTATTTCTACTCTATTTATATATTTGACATTTGATTAGTTGGCTTGTATAATAATGCAACACATAAAAATATATTATCCTTATATATGCTGCTTGTTTAATTTGGCTTGGTCCATGGTTTCCGCTCCCTATGTTCCTATAATCGTGAACTTTTGTTAATTTTGAATTGTGTATGCTTTTGTTGCGATAAAATTTGTATTTTTGGGTTGATTCATGAATGGTGAGGATTTGAAAGAAGGGGGTGGTTTTCTAGTTATTGCTTTAAAGTCTTAGGTGTGGTTTCTTTTTGAATCATTGTAATTGGTCGGTATTCGTATATATTACTAATTTTATTTCTGTCATTAGTTGAAATGATTGATAATGTTCTTGTTGCAGGACGTTGACCACACTGTTGTCGACCTTTCTATTGTTGCTATGCAATGTTGTTGCTGTTGTTTTTTATTCTCGATGATGTTGTCAGTATTCTAATTTTGCTGCTATCCCTATCTCTACTGGGATTGCTTGTTCCTCTCAGTCTGTTGTCTCTGTCTTCCACCCTCCCTCGGGTGAGAATGGAGCTACTACTAATGCCGCATTCTGTCCCTGAAGACCCTCTGCCCTGCTGTTCCTTTGCAGCAGCAGTGGATTCCTCCTCCCCCTGGGTTCAAAAGAATCCATACAGATGGCTCTTGGAGGAGGATTAATGTTGCTGCTGGTGGTGGAGTGATTCGAAATGATGATGGGACTTGTTTATTGGGTTTCTCCAACAAATACAACGCTGTCACGGCGCTAGCAGCTGAGCTTTATGATGTTAGAGATGCTTTGGCTATGGCCGAGGCTTTTGATGTGAAGAAAGTGGAGCTTTTCACGGATGCAATTTCCATTAAGGTGATGTTTAATTGACACCTTCGACCCCATTATCCACCATCCCCTTGTTGCCATAATAAATGACATTGCTAATAGCATTAGGAAACTTGAAGAGGTGGAGATTAAAGCATGTTCGTAGAGATATCAATGTCATTACCCATAATCTT